CTCACCCTGCACCCATCGGAGGTCCTGGAGCGCCCGGCGGAGCGCGGCTCCGGGTGAGGTCGGCTCTTCACTAACCGTGGGCAGCGCTGGGGATGGGCCCTGGCACCGAGCCGCGCTCCCTCTTCTCCAGCCTCCCCCACGCGCCCGGTCCTTGGCCCACATTCTGCCGACTCACTCGGAACAGGAACAGGAGGAGCAGCGACAGACAGGGCGGAGTACCGCGCTGCTGCTCAGGAAGCTTCGTGCAGAACTGAATCCGTCGAACAAGTCAAGGAGGACCGGAGGGGTCCATAGCAATCCCATAACCCCAAGGTTTTCCAGACAGCAAAATAAAAGAAAGATGAAAAAATCGCCAGTCTGTTTGTTTGAAGGATCTGAGGGTCAGAAGGAGACCCGTGGTTCCTCTGCCTGCCCGGTCCCCACGGGCAACTCGGGGAGGACACCAGACACCGAGCACGCCCTGCAAAGCCAGACACAGCCAAACTAGAAAAATACACAGCAAGAGCACAGGCCGCGTTCTGCGTGAGCACAGTCACGCGTGTGACCTGACGGGATTCTAACAAATACCTCGTGAGGCAGGCAAAGCAGATGCCAGTCGTTTCCTCTGACACGCGAGAGAGCAGACATGAATGCCCTTGTGTACCTGGGCATTTATGTCCCTATCCGCGGGTTGAACCCAGGGCCCCACACATGCGAGGAGAGCTTCGATGCCCAACAGAGACGTTCCGGGACCCCCAGGGGAGGCCCTGGGCCTGCGCTGTCATAATGCAAGGCACAAAAGGAGAACGGGCCACACTGACGTACACTTGCACTAAAGAAGACTTAGCCCTGATGATTAAATGAAAAATACACAGGTATCTTCACCCCAAAGCCATGCCCGTGCACTTTCAAGTATTTCACTTTCTGTTAACATTATTATATAAATGAGAGTTATTATATAAGAAATACTAAAGAAGAGATAAGAAGAGATAGAAACCTAAAAGCATAGTTTTTTTTGGGGGGGTTGATCTTAAATTAGTTATTCTTAGACCAAACATGAGGGAAACGGAGTAGGTAATGCATAGATCTGGAAAAGAACTACAAATCTAGACCATTATGCACTATTCTGAAATAACTGAATAGAAAGGGAAAGACAAGACCGTGGTGTAGAAATCAGTAGCTGGAACTCGTAAGGGAGCGATCTAAATTTGTATAAAAACATGACTCAAGGAGACGTGATCGCAGCCTATAAATTCCCTCCCAGCAGCAATGGGTGGTAAATAAAGCAAGTGTGTTATTCACAACCTTAAGTCCCACTCGCTTCTCTTTGTCCACCGTCTAAGGAAGACAGGGCTGCGCACCTGTGTCATCAGCATTACACAGACCCGGGGTATCCCCGTGGCCAGGCCCTGCTGGGACACTGGGAACAGCTTAAAGAGGGGGGCTGAGGGGCACTCGGAGTTACCCTGGAGGGTCGCTCCCCTTGGGAGCCTCTTCGTTTCCCCCTCGCCTCTGATGCGGAATAACACGGAAGAGAACTGAATCTAAGGAACGGTTTTCATCACTGGCCCGCTTCATTGGAACAAAACATGAAGCGTGAACACTCAGCGTGAGGCCACGTGTGCTGCCTTGGTGTGGAGGGAAAGCCTGGCACTGCGGCTGGTGATGCGCTCGCGGCGGGTCCTCAGGCCCAGTCTGGACAGGAAACCCGACGCCCACGTGGGAGGGGGAGTTCCAGGACATAGCCCCAAGGAAGGACTCTCATGGTCAAGGGCCTGGCAGAGGGGCTGCTGAGTTCCCGGTGAGCAGACAAGGGTCTGAGAGGGAGGGGCCGGGGCTGCACCCAAGAGCTCAGGAGCTTGCTCACCGCTCACCCGTCTGCCAGGCGACCCGCCCCAGGGCTGACGCAGGGTCAGCGCTCATGCATGAGGTTTCATCCGCTCTTGTGAGCTGTCGCCCTCCCATCCCGTAAAGCGATCCTGTCTTACCTGCGAATCACGATTTTTTGATACCCAAGTATTTTTAAATCCACAGAGAGCCGTGCGAATGCAAATTATTACAATTATTATGTCTCAGGCGTTTTGCTTCAAAATCATCCATTTAAATAAATATTTCCTGAACAAGACAGTGGCCCCCCCCTCTTGAAAATGCCTGGGTTTTTTGACTAAACCTCACAATCTCCCTAAGCCAAAGGATGTTTCAAAGACTTGCCTGGTCCTGTGGTTGGAGCAGCCTGGATTTTGAGTTACAGCAAATGCAGTTCTGCAGGACCGCTGGTTGGTGCTTAAAATATCTGCAATTCTCTGAACATAGCCTGCTCAGTTCATCCACGGATCACCCCAGATCTAAGCAGACTCTTTCCCACTCTCTTCCCATGCATACTTTTTGTAGCCTAGTGAGAAGCCGCCCCCATCTGGTTGTATCAGGCATTAAGTCCTTAGATGGGCAGTAGCTCTTGTGAGCATCACAGCAAAGACCTTGAGTTGTGCTGTGAGTAAGATGCTCACGGTGCTGTACACAGCCCTGCAGGGACTGAGAGCCAGTGGTGACACACACGGGAAAAGCTGCTTGCAGGACCGGGCCTGACAGTCATAGGGGCTGTCCCTAGTAGGGGCAGTGAGGTCACACAGAGCAGCGTCCGGCATAGATAGACGGGCCTGTCTGAGGCTCTCAGTAATGGACCTGTTGCTCAAAGAGGATCTTCTCAGAGCGTGCCCCAGAGCAGCGCAGGGCAGCAGTCCCTGCCGGTGTCACATCCAAGAATGGCTGGGTTTTGTTTACTGCAACATAAGCCTTAACAGACTGTGGACAAACTCCTACACAGAAAAGGAGGGGCCTGTCATTTCCTGTTCACATTCGCACACACACAATGTGAAAGTGTGTGAGATTCCCTGTTTACCACAGCAAAGTTTAAGAGAAACTTGAATCTACACGCAGACCCCATGTGGGCTGACGTCCTATGAGGAGAAATGATCAGCCCTTCATCTCTTCCCAGCCCTTCTCTGTGAGTGGGAGGAATTTGCCAGTCCTGAAATATTAGCATAAATTATGGAAATTGGAAATAGAAAGCTCCAGTCCCCCGGGAACGATAGGCCCAAGATGAACTCAACTGGAAAATTTGGCTAACTAAAAGTGATGTCTTTTGTGCTAGAGATTTTCTATCTGAAAGCTTTGGAAAGGCTGTAATTATTTTGAGTTTTCAATTCAGCCTTTTTCAAATTAAGCCTTTTATTTCCTTCTTTGCTTGGTACCTGTCTTCCCAGAGAACTCATATTTGCTAGGCACTGAAGTGGAAAGTTCATATTGGTTTTCTATGCATATCCATTCCCAGAGAATGCAGCAGTTTTACATCCTCTATGCCAAGAAAAACAAAGAAATATTTGTACATCAGAACCTTATCTTGCGCTCGGGTTCAACATTCCTGAGTCCAGCTAAACAAATCTCCTGGTAAGAAAGGGCCTACAGAGGCCAAAGTAAAATGTCCATGAACATTGGCTGCTTTTCTGCAATCAGAAGCCAGGGAAACAAGACGTTAGGCTCACCTGGTGGCGTTCGGGTCCCAGATCACAATGTCAGCATCAGACCCCACAGCTATTCTTCCTTTCCTCGGGTAGAGATTGAAGATTTTGGCTGCATTTGTGCTGGTAACTGCCACAAATCTGTTTTCATCCATTTTACCACTATGCTGTCGAAAAGATCCAAGAAAAAAGTGTGTTTGTTGTAATGGTGATGACTAAAAATCTACTGATAACAGCACCAGACTTCCCTGTCTCGCACCAAATAGTCCCGCATGTAATCTCTCCTGTCTGGAGTCAGCAGCGCGCAGCATGATGTGGAGGAGGCGTGGAGATGGCTTCTAAAAGCCTCTCAAAGCGACCTCACTGTCTCCCTGTCCTTCCCAGAAGCACAGCGGACTTGCAGGTGACAAACACTAGCCGTGCTGTTTTCATTCCCATCTAAAGTTTTCCATCACAACTGACTGCATTTGTGCTCTGGCTTGTTTACTGTAGACCTAAGATTCAAAGGACGGTCAGGTCGAGTTAGGCAATGCAGTTTTAGAATTAAAATGAGAGAGGCTGTGGCGCTTTCAAATCAGGTGTGGTGCATTTAACAAGATGAAAAATCAAGAAATTCACCCAGCAATTGTGGGCAGACTTTCCCAAGACACTTTAACGTGGAACACATGTTGAGGGTTTATCCTTACATATATTTACGTGGTAAGAGGACTCTTAAAGTCTGTTTAATCATCCAGGCCTCAGAAAATGAAAACGAACCAATCCCTGAGACTGACAGTTCTAGAAATCAACTGTCTTCATGCTTAGAAAGTAACATAGTTTCATGTTAAGAAATATTTAATCACTTTAAAGCCATTTATGCATGCAGAGGTCATAGTGATTATGCAAATCTGCCGTAATGAAGATATTAGCGTAGTAACACAGAGTCAAAGGAAAGGGTGGGCTGTTAGCAGGAAGATCTAAGCAGAGAGAGGGACGAGGGCCGGCACCAGGCAGAGTTGGATTTCGGGTGCTAGAGGAGAGGAGGCGGAGGATTGGCAGAGATCCTCGCAGCACGTTCCTTGTTCCAATATCCTTATAGCAATGCAGAAAACTAAAGGGCTTTTGAGCGGGAAGTAGCAGAAAAGGAAATCCTTTGTGAGTGGCAACGCCGGCCCCGGCATGGAGAAGGGGTTGTCACAAGTGAGACGTGGGGACGGGGACGCCGGCTGTGAGGCTCCACCGTCCTGGCAAACTCCGAGCCTGCAGCAAGAGGATGGCCGAGCAGGCAGTGAGCAGGGCATGGTCGGGAAACACGTCTGATAAGACCCGGTGAGCAGCTCGCCTCAGAAGAGGGAAGTCTGCGGGGGGAGACCGTGAAAGAGGACACAGGTAAGCTCCCGACGCCCTTGAGCAGCAGGGGTGGAGAGGAAGGCCTGGGGCAGGAGCTCGGGTCCGGCAGCCTGCCCGGCTGACTTCCACAAGCACACACTGGCTGCTGGACAGGTCAGCGCATGGCCGCTAGCCATCAGATTCTTCCCATCCCCGGGGAGAGATGTTTTGTCATGGGAATTTCTCAAACGCTTTTTCCTCGACTTTGAGTTCTTCCTCACGTGACTTGTCCTTATTCACAGAAGAGTTTTTCCAAGAGGACATCATGAAAGAAGGCATGAGAAGATAAGCACCCTATCATAAGGATTTCAGTGACACAGGAGTCCTTGGGACCCAAGCACACGGGAATGAAGCAGAAAGGACATTTTGTGTCCAGTCTGAGACCGTCCCCTATGCGTTCTCCAGACCGAGTCTGCAGAGAAGATGACAAGTTGTTTGGCCGGTACCATCCCAGGAGTGGGGTGAGATGGAAGAGTCAGACAGTGCCTAGAAAGGTTTAGGGAGCACGGGGGACCCTGGCTGGGGAACCGGACAGACCCGGGGGGCGCTCCAGGGACACCCACCACGCCCTTCTCCCAGATGACTGACATCCGGTCTTCCACACCGTTCACCCCGTTGGGAATCTTGGTGAAGTCGTCCTTCCCAAGCGCTTTCTGGCAGGTGTTGAAGGTACAGTGGTCAGTAGCTGTTGTGGTCAGATCATCGCTGGAAAGAAGAGAAGCAAACCATGAGAGTTGGGTGTGTCAGTGTAGAAACCTCCATAATGGTCAGACTTCATGGAGAAGAGGAGCATTTCCAAGTACACACTTCCTCCCTCACACGCACGGCCAGAGAACACAGTTGTGAGAAGCGTGGGGCAGGATCCAGTTCTAGGCTCTGCTGCCTTGTTTCCTGGCTCTGTAATTACGGACTTGTCTCCTTTGGACCCTGGTGATTAAATGTGCCTGGCGGCCGTGACACTGCCCTCTTGACGGAGGGCAGCAGGGGTGAGTGCTTGGAGGAGACACACACGAGATCCAGGACCATGACCTCTGGGGTCAGAGGCCAGTCCTGTCGGGCACACTGCGACCGACACAGGTGCAGCACTCCGGAGACAGCTGCCTGTTTTAGCTCGGGGATGAGGAGGCATGAAGGGAATTAGAGGAAAGGGGCAAGGGACCCTTTACACTCCTGTGGTCAGGACTTCTGGGGAAGTGGGGTCTGAGGGTCTGCGCACCGGGCACGTTGGGATGCCCTGAACGGTAATTCTCAAGAGCAAGGGTCCCCCTCCCCGGAGAGTGCGCTGTCTACACACCAGTCTGCTTTGGGGATTATATCAGCATAGGGAAAAAAACACAAGAATGTTCTAATAAAGACAAAGTGCTGGGCCTGGGAGTGACCCTGGGTTGTCACGTGCTTACTCTGCCTGTTTGAGGCCCTGGCTTCCGTGGAGTATAAAGAAACAAAATAGAAGAAGCAAACAAAATAGGTCTAATGAAGAATCTGGGCTGTGGGAGACAGGGATGGAAAAGCAGAGTAGAACGGAATTTCAGTAAATGCCTGGCCGGGAGGCTTGGACACACAGCAGCACAGTCCAGGCAGCACTTTCTGCTGTCCCGGGAAGGGTGGGCCCAGAACTCTCAGGTCGGAGGATAGAACAAGAGGGTCACGAGCACCCCAGACACACAGGGGACCAGCTCTCCGCCCAGCAAGCCCTTCGTGGTTACTTAGCCAGCAGGTTCATGAGGAATCCTGGTGTGGAAGGGTCTGGCCGCAGTGGCGGGCTCATGACGTGGTGTGCTGCGTGGCTCCACTCTTCGTGCCAGTAGTGAGTGCCATCGGTGCCCAGGCTGGCCGCAATGGGCTCTCCATAGACCACTTTCCCTGAAAGTTCAGAAAAGAGTCAGCACCTGCATTTCCCCAGGAGGACCGGGTGGCAAACACACAAAGCAGCCGCTCGTCGGAATCCCCAGCTCGGCGACTTTGTGTGCAGGACTGAAGGGTAACAGGCAGTGCTTGAGGAGAAGCTGTGAAAGTAGTCTTGGGGTCCTGCCACCGCCCTGGTCCCCGGGTGGGAGAGACGGAGGACAGGCAGGGCCACCCCATGATGCACTGGGGAGAAAGCGTCTCCCGGGCCAGACCTGCGGTGCCTGCTGTGGCCCTCTGGAAAGCTGCAGACGAGGAGACCTCAGAACACTAATGCGCCGAAGCTGTCCAAGGGGTCGTGGACCCCCAGATTTACGCACATGCACTCCCATGCAGGGAGCAGAGGGGAGGGCTGGGAGCCCTGGTGTGCGGATTCTGGGGGGTCCTCAAGTTGCTGCGATGCTAGTGAGATGGCAGCTGGTGGTCCCAGGGGCCGTACGCACCCAGCTGCAGTACACCGTGGCTGTGAGTACACCAAGAACCTTTCCACACTCTTAAAAATACTCCTCAAAAGCCTCTATTAAATAAAAGAACACTCAGATGATCAAACTGTAGCCCAAAACGCATATTTTAAAAATCATGCAAATAAGTCCATCATACGCCCACGATGTTAGAAAACTTGATAGTTCACAGTGAAATTGAATTTAAAATCAGAACCCGTGACTGATTAGCATGTGTCAGAATAAGACTCCCTGGTGTCAACTGCATCCTATGGAAACAATCAAAGACAAGTGCACAGGAAGGGCTGGCATAGCAAATCAGTTCACTCTGGTTAACCAGGTGCCAGCTCTGCACTGCGTTCCTGATACGTGGCTGGAATTAACTGATTTCCTGGGAGAACCCTGAAAGCGAGGGTCACCAGCTGCCCACGCCGGATTAAAGGGAACCAGCACCCTGCTGTCGCACAGGTCATTTCTCCCAAAACCAGCTCTCCTCTCCAGTCAGCCTGGGAAACCCAAAAAGCATGAAAGCCAGCTTAGGATGGAGATTCTTCAAAAAACAGGAACTGGAAATCCCACTGGACACAGTCATTCCCCTTTCAGGCATCCTCCCGAGAGTGAAAGTCGTCACATTGGAGAGCTAGGTGCACATCCATGTGTACAGCAGCACAACGCATAACAGCCAAGTCTCGGTGGTGGGCTGTATTTCTAACAGCAGGCAGGTGGATAAAGAAAGTGTGGTATTTACACGGAGTAGAATACTACTCTGCCGTAGAGAAGAATAAGCTTGAGTCATTTGTAGGAAAATGAATGTACCCTGAGACCAGAAAATTAAGTGAAATAAGTGAATAATTAAGCGAAATCAGACACACAAGCCTAAGTACCACATGGCTTCTGTTGTATGAGAAACCTAAAGTATAAAGAGCAGAGTCAAAGATAGGTCACAGGAAGTAGGGAGACGGATCTTTCTCAGATGGGAAGAGGATCAAGAGATGGCAGGAGGGGAGGGAAGGGCGGGGATGCAGTTTACTCTGGTAGGAGTGAGGGTGTCCTGTACATGTACTGACGTCATGCAAGAGATGCAAACGTTACGAGCTGCACACGTCCTGGTGAGAAGTTCCTACAGAAGCTGACTTGCTGAGGACTTGCTGCGTGATGACCTGAGCACGAAAGTGCGCTCGGTGACAGCGACGCCCCAGGAACTTGGCCGCTGCTGACCCCCCAGCCTCCATGATGTCAGCACCTCCTGAACCCCATTCTCGCCACCTTCTTCCCAGAAAGGCAAAGCACTCTCCCTGGCGTCTAGAATAAGCGGCGATCGTGTCTGGTGACCCGAGAGAGAGCAAGAGTTCGGAGAGAGCGAGACGCGGACGCCGCCATTGACCTCCAAGTACAAAGACGACTTCTCTCCCAAGACAACTTCGTACGCACGGGGGACACTGAGGACCCGGAGGACTGGTTCACCGCCACTTCCTGACGCCGGCCCAGGTTCTCCAGTGAGTGCCTAATCATGGAGGAAAGAGCCTTGCTGCACGCTCTGTGCCGTCCCTCAGCACGTCCGTGCCAGTCCTTCCACCATTTTGATAACGCACAGGAAAAATGAAAGGGGTCAGCATCTGCCGGGCGGGAGGCCACAAGGCGGGCCTGAGACCTGACGACGGGTGGTTTCCCGCAAGGGCTTGGCTCCGTCAGGATGTGACAGGCCACTTGGAGTCAAGCTCTTCGTAAACGGGGCTGTGTTCGACGTTCTCCCCATGTGTCTATAGATTCATAAAAAGGTAAAAAGTAAACATTTCTAGCTGCTTTTTGTTCATTTCACAGTGGTCCTAAGACTTTTTCAAAAAGCTGCAAGAAGTGAAGAGGGAAGGGTATGGGGGCCTGGACGTTCCATAGACTGGAGAACCGGGGCGGGCAGGTCAGCATAACTGTGGGTTCTGGTAGATTTGGGCTAAAAGTGAGGAAAATGGCTCAGATGGGTGCAGCTTGCAGAGCCTTGCGCGTGACCCCTTTGACCTTGACAGTGTCCCCGCTGGTGTGAAGGGTGAACTGACGTCAAGGAGACGGATTCTCCTGCCTGAGACTTCGCCCAGGATCTGCGGTGCGGCTGAACCAGAACCCTTCTTTTCGGACAGCGGATCCCACGCACTGGGTTGCTGAGAAAAGCATCATCTTCGCTCCTGCTTAGGGTGCAGAGCACATATCTTTAAGTGTTTAAGTCAACCGCAAGCTATCTGTGGAGGCGGCTGACCCATTTCCCAGTTGCACACGCTGGTTTCTTTCACTGTGCACAGCACACTGACGACGAGGCGCTCTTCTGCTGAGCTCGGGCCCTTCTGATCACAGGAGCGCCAGGCGGCTTCGCCACTCACCTCTCATGCCTGGGTGACTCTCTCAGGAGTCTGAGCCCTGTCCACCCCACAGCTCTTCTCCCTTCCGTCTGTGTTCTGCGGCTGAAAACCACAAAAGAAAGCCCGTGCTTAGGATGCGATCTCCTACTTAGAAGGCGTCCTGCCCTCTGAGGGAATCTAAAGATTGCACAGAAGGAAGTCTGCGGGCTGGCTGAACGCTGCCCTCCTGACGGCTGATGGCGGTGACAGAGCTGGGGATGGGTGGAGGCCTGCGAGCAGCACTTAACCGAGTTCTTCTAGGAAGAAAGAGAAGCAGAAAAGGCGTGGAAACACTGGCTGGGGAATGGGAAGCTAAACTCACTTATAAAAGTAAATTTTCTCAGCTAAAACCATAGGGCCAAACTTGCCTGGGCTCTGTGCAGAATTAAAATATTCCATTTATAAAGGAGTGAAATGACTAAGGAGAAAAACACACGGAGCCAGCACGGCAGAGTGGGGAGAGATTTAGACTCACACGATGGTGGAGTGTGTTAGCTCAACACAGGATAAATCGGCGGTCACAGCCTCTGCTTTTCTCATCTACAAAGCGGGTCACCACATCTTTAGTGTGCCAGCTTTGTGTGGGTCAAACAGTGATCGTCGCTGAGAGCACAGTGTTCAGCATCTCCCCAGGGCTCGGAGGCTGGAGCTGTTGCCCCTGCAGAGCGGTGACAGCATTACAGCAAGTGTGTGGTGGCCCTAAGTCCATAAGACTGGGGTCCTCATCAGAAGAGGACATTGGGGTGCAGGCGACGGCCACTCACAGGCCAAGGAGCATGGTGTGGATGTAGTTTTTCCCTGAGGCACTGTGTTACCACAGTCTCTGCACACTCACACACCCCACGAGCGTCAGGTCTCTTTCTAGCCACGAAACTCCGTGTTTCAAATGTTCTACAGTGGCCAGTTTTAAACTGCTTTACATTGGCGATAAGAAATCTTCTCCCCTCAATGCAGATGACGATGGGGTGGTCACATGTTCAAGACCACGAAAGGAACAGCAAGGGCCGAGATTCAGAGCCACCTCTACCCAGCCACGCACCATCTGTCCACTGAGTGCTGGCCACGTGTGTTGGTGATGCTTGGCCTGCCCTTGCTCAGAGCTGCAGAGTGACATCAGCGTGGCCAGAGTGGATGTTTCCCCCATCTTTCAAACACAAGAAGAGTCCATGGGGGACAGAGTTTAAATATGGAAAATAGAAACTCCAAAACTTCTGTGTAAGAAAACTATGTTTTATAAGAATAAGCCTGGAAGGGCCGGGGATTTGGCTCAGTGGTTCCACTGCCTGCTTTGCAAGTACAAGGGCCCAAATTTGATCCCTGGTACCACAAAAAAAAAAAAGAAAGAAAGAAAGAGAGAGAGAGAGAGACAGAGAGAGAATAAGGTTGGAAAGTGAAACTTCCTACTACAGGAAACCAAAACCAAATAAACAAGGTGCCCATTCACCGTGAGTTCCTTGGGAACCAAACAAGCTTGGCCATGCTCCCAAGACCTAGGCCTATGGCACAGGCCCTCACACATGCTTGGTGTCCAGGAACTTGCTTTTTATGGAAAATGAAAAAAAAATTTTATTAATAAGTTAAAGTGAGAATCATACTTACACCCTAAACATAAGAGCTTGGGTATAAGATGAGGTAGAACATCATCAAAACAAGTCAAATTGGAGATGTGCTGTGCTTTAAATGTCCCCAGTGCCTCATGCACTCGGAGGTGGGCTTTGGGAAGGTGATCGACCACTGTGCTCTTCAGTGGCTTGGTCTGTGGGGAGCTGGAGGGAAAATCGCGTAGGAGGCGGGGCTGTTAGGAGACACAGGGGTGGCCTGGCAGGGCCCATCTCCCTCCCTTTGCTCTGTTTCCTGTCTGCCATGAGGGGAGCGGCACTCCTCCTCCAGGCCCTTCCCCCACACCTGCCTGCTCAGAGCCAGCAGGGCGAAGGCTGAGCCAGATCCACCTCCCCTTTGAGTTGCGGTGTGGGCTCCGGGTCTCCGGGACAGGACAGTGTCTGAGGTGGGAGACGCACTGGGATAGACACAGCATGAGCATCGCACTGACCTGCCCAGAAAATCACTGATACTGCAGGCAAAGCACAGAAACACTGCAAATCCATGTGTTCCCCAAGTCCTACGGGAGCAC